GGAAACATTTTCTTTCAGAATGTCACAAGCATTTGATAGAGCCCGGAACATCTGTGTGCTTAGATTTTTTATGAGAAAAGGTAAAGATTAAAACACAAAGTAGCATTTTCTGAGTGCTATTGTAGAAATTAAAAAAACAAATGTCTTGTATCTTTTATAAAATATATTTTAGATTTGGCACTGTATGATTGAAGTCAATTGAATTGAGTGACTGGTGGAGGGCCATCGTCGCACATAAAAAAATACTGACTTTCCCATTTATCCATCCTTGCTCATCTCCGTAGCTTTCATTGCATTGCAGAGCAAAAAATAAATAAATAAAACTACAAGCAGCATTGTTTATGTAAAGCAATTTCTCTGTGCATCTTATCAGCAGAGGAAAAGTACAAGTTGAATTATTCTGTCAAACTGAAATTGTTTTTTAATTCCCGATTATCAACATTTTGAATGGATCTTGGCCCCAATGACCTGTTGGAGACCTTCTGGGCTAGGAAGGAAATTGCTAGCAGCACCGATTGGCCTCCAGACAGACAAGCCAGATGAGTCCCCACAAGTTAATCATAACACGATTCATGTCCGGCGCTCCACCGACAAAAGACTTCTCCATCTATTCAAAGTGGGCAGTCAAATGTTCTCAAAGTAGTCAAACACTGAAAATGTAAGATTTGGAATCAGGGAATTAGGGCAGGTTTCTGTGACTGATAACGTTTTCATAGCTAAATTAAGATTATAGCTGATATTTAACATGGGTATGACCAAAGTCCAGAAAAGGAAGGAGAGCCACTTCTCCATTTGAGAAGGAAAGCACGTCACTGAATTCCTCACAGAGCTTAACTCCTCAAGCAGAACTGCAAAATTAAGTATGATTTCTGCAACATATTTTCCAAGTATACTGTTGTTGAAATATAAAACACGCTTCCATTATGTATTTATTTATTTTCGCACAGCCCTCTATTTTAGCTCACAACCTTTAACAGAAGGCATCTGTGATGGTATCACAGAAAAACTCCGCACAGAACTTTGCCCACAGTAAAAATACATTTTCATAAGCATGGCAGGGGAGAGGTGCACGTGCTGCAGACTAGCCTGTGAAGCTGATCTTTGTCTCCTATTCATTTGCTTCCATTATTTTTTCTAATGTGGGATTTCTTGAAAACATGTGAATGTGGTCATCTCCCCGATGACAGTACTTGATGTGAGTAGCTTTTGTTCTGATTCAGAGAGTGCAGCCCTTTTTAAACCCAATGGTTGCCATGCCAACAGTGCCAAAAACATGCCACTCTGATACCATAGATGTTATTTTCATTAGCCAATAACCACTGTGTGAAAGCTGACGGTTTTTCTATCATGTTTCCAAATAATTAAAATCACATGGAAGATCCATGTTGAACTCAATACTGCGTGAACTTTCATTTGCATTTAATAACTTAGTTATTTGTCTCAGGCGTGATTAGAAAATTACGTGCTTTGTGCAGCTAACTGATCTGTGGTAATAGCTTTCATGTTTTGAGCCCATTAGCCTTTGTGAAAGAGAGATTTGCATCTACACACACACAAACCCCAAGCTAAGTTGGTGTGTAACTGTGGCAGCGTATGAAAACGTGCTGCACGTCCTGCAAAACTTTGATCTAATAAAAGTTTGTGAAACTCACCCAGGCACACAGCCCCTTCGTGATCCAGGCACTGCTTTATCAGGACGATCCATCTACCTCCTGCATCCGAACAAACTTAAAGCAAAAGAGTGTGATTCAGGCCAGCTACACCCCTCACTTTGATGCCACTTAGCCTCTCAGGGGAGCCCCGCTCACATCCTGCTGCAATAGCTTTTCCATCGCTGCATCCCAGCCGAGGTTCCACTGATACCGATTTCCCCATCCCCACGGGTTAGACCATTCTTAATACGATTACAGAGCAGGAGACTTTAAGATAATTCAATGCATCTCCATGGCTAATTTAAAAAAGGTAGCATGGATGCCACATCCGCTTATTGTTGCTGCCCGCGTGCTAAAGAGAGCATAAGAGTTGACTTATTACCACACAATACTGACTAAGTGGGAAATCTCTTTGGACATGGTGGCCCACCATTTGCAAGATTTAATTCGATTTTCTGTTCAGGCTTTAGTTAAGTGCTTCTAAAGTTTCTTGTCTCACAGCAAGGGGGTAAGAGGGCAGCTGTGGCTCTGACTTGATTTGCTCTTTCAACAAGAAGCAAATTAACCATGATTTAGCAAGAAATAATCACAAAGTTCTTACAGCAACATGACAGAATTACTGGGCTGGAGTATTTGGTGCAAAACTGGATTAAGCCTAATCCTACGGTAAATTAATTTCTCTGAATGCAGATCTCTTGCAAATGTATGTTTGCAGACACTGCAGGTTTAATCCGTGTATCTAGAAGGGTCCCTGCAGAGTTCTGGTGATCTTGATACCAACTCTGGAGCAGCTGATGATGGATCAAAGGTTGTGGTCAGCAGTTGTTGTCATTTTTAGAGCTGCTTTTCTCTTTTTTTTTCAAACTTTTGCGTAATTGACTTGTAATCTATTTTTTTCTCTGATATTTAATAATTCCCTTAACCTAATTTGATTTTATTCAGCAAATCAAAATGTAGCAATCTTTCTTTTTCACGATATTTGAGTCGGATTTAAGAAACCAAATTAGTTTTGAATTATCTTTTAAATGAGATGCATTACTTTGCTATCTATTCAGTTGTATATGAACAGAAAATGTATGATCTGTGATTTTTATTTATTTATTTTAATTTTATTTTTTTTGTACCCTCTTCAATCAACTGTGTGTCCTTTCAGGAACAGCTCTGCAGGCTTCTTTGAATACATCCTAAAGCTCTTCTTTGGATGTGGGCTGCTTTTTGCTCCATTCTCTGTCAGATTCCCCACACTGCTTCAATAATGTTAAGCTCTGGGTTCTTGGGATGTTTACTTTTGCACAGTAACTTTAATATGGGGCCATTCATATTCAGCTATGTGGTTAATTTACTCTTAGGTGGTGCAACCCACCCGCTGCTTTGGAAGAACTTATCCATTGGGTCAAAAGATGTAGGGGAAACTTTATTAGGGGAAGCACTCTGTTTAATCCAAGGATACAATTCTATCATTTACATGGATGGAAAATGCTCTGAGATGGACAGGCCACTTTCATTCCTCTGCACCTTTTCCCGTATATTTACAAATGGAAAAGTAAAAACAAACAAACAAGGCAAAGAATGCTGATCATTCACAATCTCCTGTGGTAGCAAAGGACCCTGTAAATCCAGGATGAGTGTCAGGCTATTTGTTGTGAACTGCTCCAGCACTAAATCAATTGAAACTATTGTGGCGTTTGAATAATACATGAAAAGTTTGACTTGACCAGCTGTGACTCTCAAAGCATGCTAATAAGATGTTCCGGCTTTGTGGAAAGATATTTGAAGCTCTGAGTGACAAATCAAATGCTTGTTGCTGTTGTATGAAAATCCTCTAGCTTCGAAAGTGAAATCTTGCGCGGGGGGGGGGGGTGGTTGGGGGTACTGCCTTTTTCATCATCGTGCTGCCCTCTGCGGGTCTTCTTCCAGCCTCCCGCCTTTTCCCCTGTCCCTCTGCCCCCCCCCCAACTCCATCAGCACCCTCATCCACACCGCCCGTCTTTCCCACCAACCTCCTCCATATTACCATACTCCCTTTAAGTGTGTTGCACTCATTAAATTGCTTCTCATTCGCGCGCTGACACAGTCCTGAGATTTGGGGTTTTATGCATTCTTACGACAGATTTTTTTGGAAAATCACTTCATTAATTCTTTCTTCTTTTCACTGCCAAGCCGTGGTAATTGTTTAACAATGTCGCTGCAGGGTGTGCGCTGCTTTGCACCAACCATGATCAAGTTCCACTAGTTGAAACGTTGGTGGGTGGCTCGAGCTCGTGCACAGCTACACAGGATATCGTGTGACCAACGCAGAGCTGCATAGCAGGGATCGGATTGATGCACTCAAGGAGAAAGGTGGAGGAGAACATTCTCTGATCTCCGTTCGATTTGGACGTGCTGGCGGCTGAAATTAAGAGACCTTGGGCAGATGTGTACATAAACTGGTACAAGCCAGATCACTGGCAGAAGACTAGGGGCTGGTTCGTGCCTGTGCTCCGCTTCGTCAGTGCGCATGGATGAAAGTCATAGTTAAAATGCATGCGGCAAAATCGGCATGATGTGGGATTACCGCGGTCTTAGTACCCCACCTGCTCTTAAACATGTCTGAACTTTGGTTTTGGCTCTTTTTCCGAGATGACGCTGCTAATTTCAGTCGCCTTTGGAGGAGCACTGAAGCCCTGTTTGCCGCGCTGGCTGTCACATTATTGGCGTGAATGAGACCGTACATGAGCTCTTCCATGCCTGCTTTATGGAGCTAAACGCCGAGGAGACTTGACTTGATTTGGTTCTTTTTAGCCCTCCCGCACCCTCCTCCTTTTATTCATCCTTTTTGCCGTGGTAGTCAACAGGAAGGTGGGTGAAAGCCTTTTTTTCCACCAATATTGGAGAAAGAAAGACGGGGAACGGCGGGGATTTTTCGGGATGCTGTGATGTTTGCCGCGATCAGCACGGTAAGAGAACAGAGATTTTTGCCCTTTCTTCTTTGAGCGAAGCTTGGACGTCTCCGGGGATCTGTCCATGGTGCTGAAAAAGCTAATTCCACCTCCAGATACATTCGTCAAGTTGATGAGATTTAAGACGCAATTACCGAAGGTGTCTGCACCTTTGGTGGCAATAACAAGCAGAGAGCCTACATTCTACGCTCACCCCGTCAGTTTTATGCGTTCCCAATAACAACTCCTTTTTTTTTTTCCTGCGAGGTCGGACTTGCAGCCCACCAAGTTAACGCGAATATTTCAAGAGACAATTCCAGAGGTGAGGATTATAAAAGCAAATATTTATAATCATGCGTTCTCCTCAGTTTAACAGCATTCGCTGAAGACACGTCTTCGTTTATAAAAACGAGACTATTTGAGGAAATGTACTGTGTGGGCTGCTGTGTTCTTTTCGGGAACGCATGCAGACAAACGGTGTGTATGTGTGCGCAAGTGTGTCTGTGTTTGCGTGTGCACAAGAGCTCACGCGTCTGTTCCAGAGAGCGAACGATCTAGAGAGAGGGAGAGGGAGAAATGGAGAGGAGAGACGATATGTAACATTCTATATAGCGGATGCCACACATAGCTAATACTCGATTATCAAGTTATTTACCCCGGCGTTAAAATTCAGTCGTAGCTACGCGGTTTATTTGCCTTTGATCAACTCCGCTCATTTCTTTTTTTCCGCCCGTGGGCAAGAGGAGGGCTGTAGCCTTGTAGGCTGATATTCACATTCTCTATCGCAGGCCGGATTTTTAAGATGAATACTGACTGCTTTCCCCAAGTCGATTTCAGTCAAGACAGTCGGCAATATTCTTGTCCTTTTTCTTATTTTGTTTAAATTTCTGCCGAGGATGGTTTTAATCATAGACCACCAATAAATTCCCCGTCCTTATGTTGTTTGGACGGAGGCGGAGAGGGAAAAGGGATCCGACAGTTTCACCACAGTTTCGTCGAGTATGCGGGGTGAGTGAGAAATCTTCATGATAAGGAGATAAGAGTTTAGAAATATTTTTTTTTTTAAATGTGTGTGTGGGGTGAGACTGATTAAGACACGGAGCTGTTCAAAATACCTTTACAGTAGGTCTTTTCTTTCTGACCGGAATTTCTGAGTGGATTCATTTAGTAAATCGCTAAGTCCATCAGTGTACATATGGTGGATGGTGATGCCTTATTTCCTTTCGAGAGATGGTTTGGAATTAATAGGATTGCGAGCAATCAAAAATGCGCAGTGGTAGTTCACCGATCGTCGTTGAGTTTAAGACTGATACTATATATATATATTTATATAAAAACTGTCAGTCTGACATTTAACTTGACGTTACACATCTGCATGCTTAACAAACGTTAATAGGCCTCCTTGTATTTGGCATGGATAAAGAGACTGTGCGCACTTTAAAAATGATGCACGTGTCACTTGCATTTCCTGTGCTGTATAAAACAGAACTCGTCCTTTTTCTTTTCCTCCTTAGATGACACCTCACACTGGCACCGCACTTGAGTGAGCTGGGGCATCCTCTCCCAGGAAAAATGCATATCTGGATACTAAAAATAATCCTTCTGGTTGCATCATCTCTGAGGCTGGTTGAGATGTATGGCAATTATGGAGAGATCTGCCGAAACCTTTGTACATGTGAGGAGAAGGAAGGAATCCTGACGGTGAGCTGTGAGAACCGGGGGATCATCAGACTGACAGAGATCAGCCCAGTTCAGTTCCCCATGTACCACCTCCTGCTGACAGGGAACCTCCTAAAGAAACTGTCAGTCAATGATTTCATCAATTACACCGGGGTGACCATCCTGCACTTGGGGAACAATGACATCTCTGAGATAGAGTCAGGTGCTTTCAATGGACTCCAGGGATTGAAGAGGTTACACCTGAATAACAATAAGATTGACATTCTGAGGGATGACACCTTTGCAGGACTAGAGAGTTTGGAATATCTACAGATTGACTATAATTATATCACCAATATAGAGCCCAACGCCTTGAGCAAACTCCACCAACTAACAGTGATGATTTTGAATGACAACCTGCTCTCTGCACTCCCTCAGAATATCTTCCGTACTGTCCCCCTCACACACTTGGATCTGAGGGGGAACCGATTAAAAATGTTTCCCTACATCGGCCTCCTCGAACACATGGACAAAGTTGTGGAATTACAACTAGAAGAAAATCCGTGGAATTGTTCCTGTGAGCTCATTGCGCTAAAGGCCTGGCTTGAGAGCATATCCTATACAGCTCTAGTGGGAGAAGTGGTGTGTGAGACGCCATTCAGGCTTCACGGCCGGGACCTGGATGAGGTGTCCAAGCAGGAGCTTTGCCCGAGAAGACCCCTAGAAGATACAGTCAGGCCAGCACCTCCAAGCAGCACCAATGGATATTACCAGACCACACCAGCTGCGGTCACAGCCTCTGCCACATCTTCGGCTGTTTTCAGGTCCTCTTCTAGGCCTACCAAGGGCGCACGGCCATTTAACAGAACTAGGTTAAAGCCCACCTCTCGATTACCTGGCGGTAACCCTTACAACTATGGCCAAATCATTACTTTTCAAACCAAATCTCCCGTGCCTTTGGACTGCCCCACTGCCTGCACATGCAATCTGCAGATTTCTGAAATTGGGTTAAATGTCAACTGCCAAGAGAGAAAGATTGAGAGTATTTCTGATCTGAAGCCCAAGCCATACAACCCTAAAAAAATGTATCTCACGGGAAATTACATCCCCGTGGTACGGAGATCAGATTTTGTTGATGCCACTGGATTGGATCTGCTTCACCTTGGAAACAACAGGATAACTCTGATCCATGACCGGGCTTTTGGGGATTTAACCAACCTGCGTAGGCTGTATTTAAATGGTAATCTCATGGACAGGCTTACAGGGGAAATGTTTTTTGGCTTGCAAAACTTGCAGTATCTTTATTTAGAGTACAACAAAATCAAGGAGGTGGATGCAGGCACCTTCCACTACCTCCCTAATCTCCAACTGCTTTTCCTCAACAACAACCTCCTTAAAACCTTACCCACAGGCATCTTTTCCAGTCTTTCCCTGTCTAGGCTTAATTTGCGCAACAACAATTTCCAAAACCTGCCTGTGAGTGGTGTTTTAGATCAGCTGAAACTGCTGGTGCAGATAGATCTGTTTGAAAACCCCTGGGACTGTTCCTGCGACATAGTGGGGATGAAGATATGGCTCGAACAGCTCAGTGCAGGCACTGTGGTCAATGAGGTTGTGTGTGAGACACCCAAACGCCACACAGGGATGGACCTACGTTCCATCCAATCAGAGCAGCTGTGCCCTGACTACTCCGATATGTACATCTCACCAACTGACCCAACGGTAGAGCCCATGGATGATCACGCCGTCACAACAGATGCTCCCCAGAAAATCAACTCCCATAGCAGCACTGTCCCCCTCTCTGTCCTCATCCTCAGCCTCTTGCTTGTTTTCATCCTGTCTGTCTTTGTGGCTGCAGGGCTCTTTGTTGTGGTAATGAAAAGACGCAAAAAGTCCCAGTCCGACCGTACTAGCACCAACAATTCTGATGTCAGCTCGTTTAACTTGCAATACAGCCTCTACAGCAACCGTTCCGGTCCTAAAGTCAAAGCCCCTGCTGGCCACGTCTATGAGTACATTCCTCATCCCATGGGCCACATGTGCAAAAACCCCATTTACAGGTCACGAGAAGGGAACACGGTGGAGGATTACCGTGACCTGCATGAGCTCAAGGTAACATACCGGAGTACTCCAGACGATGACAGGGATAGTAGTACAATGAGGAGCCCAAC